GGTGTGGGAAACGTCCTCCTTAATTTTATTTATTTTTTATTTTGATCGGTTTCCGAGGGCTCTTTTCTCGAACGGTGGGGGCGGTACATGCTCTTTTCTTTCTATCATTTTTTTTCTTCTTCCGCGTGGGTTGTACCCTACTTTTTTTTTGTCTCCCCGCGGCGTCGTATGTGCCGGGTGTTGAGACCACGGGCTCCCCATTTTTTGTGGACTATAGAGCTAATGTGAGAAACAACAATAACATGTTTATAGGCTTACATTGACTCAGAAGTACCCCAAAGATTTCCAACAATTCCCCTTCGACTATGATATCATCTCGAAACTGGTTTTCCGTCTGTGATTGAATGCAGATTTCAATCTAGACCGCACGCACACACCTTTAAATCGAGCAAACCCGTAATAATCGGGTGGAGATCGAACCTACGACAGGTTGCCCCGGCACGATGTGGCAAGCTCCCTGGGCGATGGCGGTGGTACGTACTATGCATTTCTCCACGGGAAATGTAAATGAAGATTCACACGGCAGTTGGTCGATTGAATGGCAACGAGCGCTGTGGGCGGTAGCTGTTTGGATGGGCATGTAGGAAATAGATTTCATATGCTTGGTAGTGATTTTGATGGGAATATCTAGGCGAGCGTTCATTTGGCTAGCAACAGTTCAGACTAGCATGAGCGCCCGCGCTTGAGGGCGCACTGTGGTACGCAGTATCTCCGCTTGAGCAATCCTTGGGGAAACAAACACCTGCATGTCGTAGTGCTCCAAAGTCTAACTCCAGTGCGAAACTTAAACCGCAAACTAGCGTTGTACTCGACATAGCTCACAAATGTCTCCTGTTCTTTGGGAATGAGTTTTTTTTTTTGAGGCTGAATTTCTAATTCCTGAAATCGCCGAGTTCTTTTGTGCGGCGCTTACCGAATATTAGACGGAACGCCACCGGTTAGAAATTTCCGCATCGTACATGGATAGCGAAAGGTATCATTGTCGTGTCCTTCAGGTGAGGATCGAACGTGTGTTTTTCTTTTTCATGAAGTTTGGTCGGTAATTCTGTGCCAAAGCCACCAAGTGCCGCCGACGGCACGATTTTTACATTTCACTCTCCTTTGCTGTGGGGCATTTTCTTTTTCTGTGTTCCAAGAACCCGCAGAATTTCAATCTTGCGATACGTCTTTGGATGGAAACGGGGAATCAATATGCTTGGCGACGGGATGGTGCAACTTGCTTGAAAAACACTTTTTCGCTTCCCATGGTGCGTACCGAGTTACCTTGTTTTGTTGCGGAAATAATACCGTGGAAGTGAGATTGAAAGCAATATTTTTCATGTCAAAGCAAAATTTCCACCTTTGATTCAAGATGTTTTTCCCCTATGACATCGATGTGATGGCGAAAATACTCCCCTCCCCGTTTGTTTGTTTTTTCTGACAAATCGCGAAAGGTTTTTCGACGGCGACGATGACGAGGGCAGCGTCATCGAGGACGGCTTGGACATGCAACAACTCCTTGGTGGGATAGACTGGGGCTCGAACACCCTGTCCATGTAGTGGATGGACGGCCTCATGTTCATTGCCACATAGCATCCGCACGACGCACGGGGAAGAGATTCGTGCGTGATGGAATACACGGTTGGTTTTGTTTCGAAAAGTCCTGCATCGGCCTCTGAGAAACCGTTTAACTCTCCAGCTCCTCCTTTTCAATTGCCGGAAATATGTCAGCCCTTTGCCCTGAGTAGCTGCATAGAGGGTCGCCAAACAAACTCCACCCTGAACGTGCCAAGTTTCTGTGTCCTCTTTTCCGAGCAATGAAAGGTGTTTCTCCCTGACGTTTTCTGCCACCGCCTGTCCCTGGCATCTTGGAAGGGCCAGGCGCTTCTTGCGTCGTGTGTATGCGGATGACGTTGAATGTAGCTGCGTCAATATGTGTTGGTAGTGTGTGGGCTTGCCTACCTGCTCTTGGGTAATATTGTGTAGCGTTGTGCAGCCCCAAGTATTTTCTGGCACCAGTTTTCAAATCTTTCGGCATGCTGTGTGTACCTGGTGTATGTGTGACGATGCTCGACGTATCAGCCGAGGTCAAACAGGAGCCAGTTGTTTTGTGTATGCATAGCCTAGACCTGCTTTCTTCCTGCAGTGCCTTTTAGTATCTATCGCGAGAAGGGTTCAGCCGCCCTCTTTTTTTTGCTATCGCTTCAAAGCAGCGCTTCCAGCATTTGTGTGGCGTGTGCAAATGGTCAAGAATTCATAGCTTCAAACGTAAAGAGCGAATTTCTTCCTCGCTCGTGGCGGACAGCCAGTCGAATGCACGACCTGGTACTACGCCCTTCGTTGCAGCTTTCCGCGAGAAACAACATCGGGGCCACCGACCTCCGTTATGCTCATAATCTTCGTGGACTCTACCAGCTTGTCTATACTTCGGGGAAGCCCGTTCTGAAAATTAAGATCCTGACAATACATCGATGGTAGACTCTCCCATCCGTATCCACACTCAATACTTCAAACCGCTCGCTGTCAGAACGGAAGACTCCGTCATCATCGTTCAAACACCGATCGATACAATGATCAGTCGCCCAACGTTACGCAGGTCTAGAGTGCTTCCTTATGTCAGGACGGAGGTCCATTATTTATTGCAGGACCAATTTAGTAGCAGCAGCATCAAGCGGCAGTGAACACAAGTTGGTCATGTATTAACCCACACCCGAACGGAGGACGTACCCCCCGATTTTGCTGTTTACGCTATTCTTTTTTTCTCTGCCCCCCTCCGTCCTAAGATCTGCCGCCCCCCCTCAGGTGTGGTATTTTGCAGGCTTCATGGTGCTGACTACAATACTACAGCAGAAAATAGTAGGGGACACCACCAACAATTGAATTTTTCTTCCTAACAATATATGTATTTTTCTCTCTTCCACGGATAGATTGGAGTCCGGGATTGATTAGCAACGAGTCCGTAGTCGTGCATGATGAACAACTTGAATTGCTACGGTTTCCCGAGCTTTCAACCTCCCCTCCCTGTGGGAAACAGACTCGACAAGACAGTTTGCTGGGGAAATAGGTGCTGATGAAGATTTATTTGTTGGACCAATGGTTGAAGGTCGACCAGAGCATATTTATTTATCTGTTTGCGTGTGCCCTTTAGTATTTCCTCCATGAGTATGTTGTTACTTCGACAACACTTCGGCAACAAACAGCACTTCCTCTTTCTCCTCCTGCTGGTCGTGAATAATGATCTGCTCTATCCAATAATAGCGAACAAACACAGTCAGGGCTACCAGCAACAGTCAAGGTGTGTCGTCACTCGTGAGGATTTGATGCAATAGATGGTGTAATCGCAGGGGTGGGTGGGTGGGTGTACTCATAGTCGTGCATGCCGTGGTCGTTAGACCATTGACCTCGCATCCCTACAAAGCCGGGACGGAGCACGCCGGGTTCTCACCGGACCAGGCTCTCACATCACAAAGCGCGAAACACCGTGAGGTATTCGGCCAGTCNGTACTCATAGTCGTGCATGCCGTAGTCGTTAGACCATTGACCTCGCATCCCTACAAAGCCGGGACGGAGCACGCCGGGTTCTCACCGGACCAGGCTCTCACATCACAAAGCGCGAAACACCGTGAGGTATTCGGCCAGTCGCATGAAGGGTGCGCTGTATCCTGCTAAGGGTGTTCGGCATCTTGTGATTACTTCCTTCCGTGCGGATGACAGCTGCGTATGACTTAATTTTCTTGATGGTGCTTTCACTTCCAGAGACAGTAATAAGCACTGTGTAACTGCCTCGAGGGTGCTTGACAATTCAAACACAACGTGGTGGGATCACGCCCCTTGCGCGTGGTGAGGGTTCATGATCTACTGGACCACCATAATGGTTACCGCCAATAAAAGAGCCAGAGGTAAAAAATTTAGGCAACCTGGTTTCCGAGTTCACGAAGTGACTTGGTTTGTCATACAACATCGCTGCCAAGCGAAGAAAACCCAATCCCGATTTCAAACATCGAGGGGGGGTTCACAGCGGGGAGGATACGGAGGAGTTCAATTCGGCCTATATCGAACCACGCGGTCTGCCTCATCTCGTTTACTTTTTTTCCTTCACCGGCTCGTCCTTCTGCGACGACCCCCCTCTCGCTCCCAAGGTTGTTGCCATATCTGTAGACTACTGTCTCAACGCTCGTCATCGGATATCCTCCACTTCATCTTTATGTTTGCGGCCTACGCCACATGTTTATCGGGTGAGACTGTCTTGGTGATGAAATAACTTCACGAGAGGTAGACGACTGTCCTTCACATGGACGAAAGAGGGAGTGCTCAAAGAGCGGCTNGGCTCACGAACACCCTCCCTGGTTCTTCACGCAAGTGACTAACCATCAATGGGGCAAGAACGCCCCTGGATACATCGGAAAATACCAACATGGTCATGTATGGAGGGGAAACCCGGCGTCCGGGCGAAACCCCTCGAAAAAACCCTTACCACCACAACNATCGCGGTGCCCCCTACCAAACGGCAATCTTACCAGTCTGCGTGACACCAGATCATCCAGCACATGTATCCAACACCAATGTTCGAAGACCCACGAACAACCTCCCTGGTTCTTCACGCAAGTGACTAACCATCAATGGGGCAAGAACGCCCCTGGATACATCGGAAAATACCAACATGGTCAAGTATGGAGGGGAAACCCGGCGTCCTGGCGAAACCCCTCGAAAAAACCCTTACCACCACAACAACCGTCGCTATCACAGCGGGTCACAACGGCCGCACTTATTAGAAAGGCCAAGGCGAAGACAAGAACGCGAGGAACTACATTCCCCCGGACGATGGTCTCCCAACGCCCCCTACCCCTGCCATTGATACACAGACCGCAACGGTTTTGCGCATTTCCCCGCATGGAAAACATGACCTCTCTAGAAACTGCTACAGCTACTCCAGCAAATTCATCAACTTGCGCCGGTGGTACTGCAGACTAGCCCAACTAAAGGCCTTGGTTAGGAGGTCCCCGTGTTGCTCCANGCTACATCTACTCCGGCAAATTCATCAGCTTGCGCCGGTGGTACTGCAGACTGACCCTGCTAAGGGCCTTGGTAAGGAGGTCCGCGTGTTGCTCCGTTGTCGGAACAAACTTGACCGAAATATCCCCCGACCTAAACAATCCTCGGATGAAATGATACCTCACGTCGATGTGTTTCGTGCGACCTGACCTGAGGGGGTTCTGCACCAACGCTATGGCCCCCTGGTTGTCATCAAGGACCTCGATGCTGCTACCACTGGTTTCTGGGGGGACAAACGAAAGCACAGCACGCACAAACAACGCCTCCTTGACGCCCTCCCCGGCAGCAATGTACTCGGCTTCCGTCGAAGACACAGACACGATGCTCTGTGTGTTGCTACCATGGCTGATTACGGTACCTCCCACCGTCGTCGCCAACCCTGACACCGAACGCCTATCCTCCGTGTCGGCGTAGCTAGCGTCTACGTACACGGCCAGCCCTAACCCCGATCCCCGTTGGTAGGTGATGCCGAGGTCCCTCGTCCCCTTCGAGTAGCCGACGATCTTCTGGATGGCATCCCACTGCCGCTTCGCCGGGGCGTGGGC